TTTGTAAGGAACCCAGACGTGAAACTTTTATTGCTTTTGTTTGTGCGTTGATGTCATGTAACTTTACATGGAAATTTTATTGTTGAATATAAAAATAACTGATCTGGGAATTTATATTTTTGATCTTCTTAGATACTTTTATAACTTCGATTCGTATGAGAATTAATTCTCCTGCAAAGCACATTTAATTTTGTCCGCACCGTAACGTAAACGCCTCGCCTAGCGGTTGGCGCTCGAAAAGCGACAAGTCTGCTACTTAATATGACCTTTATGCGATGCTATTTATGTCGATTTTCATTATATCTCGTAGTTTCAGAAGCTACGCTTTGTTCTGCCCTATTTAGTACTGTGTAGTATACAGATACTAGTAACTGTTTTTAGTTCTGTCTACAGAACTGTATACAGCGCGACAAAGCATAGTGTGAGCGAGATATGACGCCCCAATTGTTCTACCCACGCTTATACAGGGTGTATTCGTATGTATAAACCTTTTACACCATTCGCAGTAAGATCCATTGTGTTGTCATGTTGGTTAAAACCATTAAGATGAAGTCTGTTGTACCATCAACCTTTATTACCAACAAGTTTTGCAATTTGACTTGAGAGAATATTAAAAACTCGACTTACGCATTAAAAACTTTTCGTTAACAATAAACATTTAAGTTTTAAGGGCTTACATTTTGTACTGTGTTTAACCGTTAGGATTAATTCTTTAAAGCTTCAATTTGCCAAAGTGGGTGTTGGGTATATTAATTAAGTAATGGTTTTTTATTAAAGAATAACATTAATTTCATTTATACTCGTACTTAATGCAGTCTACTGCATGATGTAAGTCTTGCAAAAGCAAATAATACATTTTTTTTTTCATTTTCTATTGTTAAGAAAGAAGAAATTAATGTTTATTCAGTATCATCGACAATACACTTCCCCCGTATTCACAAACATTACTATGAGATCTCACAGCGCGCGTGGACGCACAGGGTGACACACGAACCAATCACAGAGCTCTATTCGACGCTGTGCGTTCGATTTGCTGCTTCACTTAAGCAAGCATCGTTTTTAAATACGGGCGTTAACCTACAACAATACTTAAAAAATATTTGACAAGTTAATAATAAATAGTCATTACCGGCTATCTTTTTAAGATCGTCTGTCCATCGGCATATAAATAATGCTATTACATCTATTAATCATTGAACTAACTTAGCAAGTGACTAACTGGATTTTTAAAGTTTATTTTGTAGATGTTGATGAGCTCGTGACTTAATTACGTCTCAAATAGACATATAAAATAACTTTAATAGAGTCTGGAATTATGATCAACATAATTTAAACTTTTGTAGCGCTAAGTGCTGTCCCTGTGGAACTAATTTTACTATGTAGGTAACTTACTAATGACTAATATATTTTGAAGCCTATTTTTTATGTTCTGTCATGCATGAATATTACGAGTACCTATAACAACCTAGTTCACAAACCAGGTTGCAAACTTTTTGGTCAACTATAGGCGTCTAAAAGTCTAAAATGGCTCTATCTCTACCCTGAGCACGAATAAATATTGTTCTCATTGAGGCACGGTTTGTGTACCAAAATTCATTTCGTGTTCATTTGCCAAAGCAATTTTGATTAAGAGTTATTCGTGTACGGGGTACAGGCTAGCTTCACGTGTCCTATCAGCATTATATCACGATTTTACCCAGTGATGTATGTTGTTTTGTTGATATCAATTTACCTACTACTACGTTTATATTGATTTAACTTAGGTAAAATATAACGACATTAATGTAAGGCAACTCATTGCACCACCTAACTTTGACCGTAACTATAATTAATGATAACCGGCGCGGCGTTTTATATGTATATCGAGTTTGACAGATTTTTGACGTTTGTCAAAATTTAAAGTAAGATGGTGCAACCTAGCCTTATTCAGCCTTATTTGTATACAATATTGCCACTTGACATACATTTCTATTAGTGGACACCTCTTAAGTTTTCCAGGTGGAATATCAGCCTAAGGAACCCTAAATTGTTTCAACCAAGCAAAAGTTATGGGAGTGGCTAAAGTATCTTTTATTCATTGGAGATTTAAGAATGGGTTCACTTTAGACGGATAATGTTTTAGATTTCCGAAGCAGAAAGTATTTGGGATTTTCCAGTTTGTGGATTTAGATTTTAATCTGTAGAGTCGGAGATATCGTTGAAAAAAGATTCGATTTATTGAAAATTCAGTTAGGATGACAATATTTTAAAATGTTGTAGACGTATAGCGTATTGAGAAAAGTACCTAAAACTTTTATCTTTAGACAGCCCTAGCTGTTTGTCTTTATTAAATATGACTCGGGGGGACACTTTAATCTAGGGCTTTCTGTATCTAAATCTATACAATTATAAATACGAAAGTAACTCTGTCTGTCTGTCTTGCTTTCACGCCTAAACCACTGAACCGATTTTGATGAAATTTGGCATAGAGATAGTTTGCGTCTCGGGAAAGGACATAGGATAGTTTTTATCCCGGTATTTGAAACATCCCTATTTGTTTGTGTGGGACGCGCGCTATAAAGTTTTTCTGTGACAGACAAAATTCCAGGCGGGCGAAGCCGCGGGCGGAATGCAAGTGTTTAAATAATTTAAAAAATCGAAGTACATCGAACCCACGACCTTTCGCTTCTCTGTATCTGATTCTGATTAATTTCGTTGTGGGTCCAATGACAGTTTAACTTTCCCTGAGGACAAACTTGACCTTCACTGGTTGGATTTTTATTGGCAGTCAAGCTGTAAATCCTGGCTATATAGGAGTTGCAGCGGTGGGAACGAGAGGTGGGAATAGTCCCGTTGTATCATAGAGCTAGATGTTTCTCAATTTTTTTTGGCAAGGAACCCTTATTGATTGTACTTTTCCTAGCGGAACTCCCCTACTACTCCGCCCGCACGCCCTGTCCCTCCTTTGTGCATAAACAAGTCGGTGCGAGCGAACAACGTCGGTCACGAAACGTGGGATAATTTATTTTTTACGGAACCCTTGCGGCCTTTCCACGGAACCCCAGGGTTCCGCGGACCACCTTTCGGGAACCGCTGCCCTAGACATTATTTCGCTGCTCCGCCCTAAAGTTAAAATAAAAAAGAAACTGCGAAAAGTCTCGGACGTGTAGTGTGTACTAAACAAATGTCGCACATTTTAGGCATGTCACATACTATGAATATATCTTTAACCAGTCTACCTTTGTTAAATCATTCCCATTCTAACCACAAAGCTATTAAAGTAGAATTGCAATTGACCACACCCCTGAATTCGTTCTTACCGCTTAGTCCAATCACCAGCGAAATCCATTGAAACCTAAATTAATAGAGGCAACCACAATTATCTCTTTTGCGGTATCACCAATAGATGCACTTCCTGACTACATGCAAATCCGCACTTTATAGTCATAGAAACAAGGTCTCAAGTCCAACCGCTTGACATCTGACCACTGAATGTGATTATGTCAGCACATTTCAATTTCAACTGCCACGTCTTTGGATTAGGGTTGAAATTCAGATGGGACGGTTTGAATGGGTGCAATAGCATAGTGTGGTATTTGTGGGATATCTCAAACGGATCGGATACATATTCTGATGGGTTTAACGATAGAATTGGACTGAGGACACCGCAACGTTGGCAGAAATGCTAAGAGCTCTTCATCTGTTCGGATATGTTTCGGTCTGGTACAGTCGGATTCAAATGGAAGGCACTTTAGAGTGCCGCTCTTGTCATTTACTTGCTGTTCTTCGTACAAAACTTTCTTTATAAAAATAAATAAACTTTAGCTTCTTTAATAATAGTTTTAGTCAATGAGTAAGTTGCACATTTTAGTTTGAAGTTAATTTGGCTTTAAAAAGCTCATTTATTAAATTCTTTTGTTTCTTTTTTGCAACTAAGGCTGGGTTGCACCACCTTACTTTAACTTTGACAAACGTAAAAAATCTATCAAACTCCATAAAAAAACACCGGTTATCGTTATAGTTACGATCAAACTTAGGTGGTGCAAGCCAGCCTAAATATTGACTTATTTCGACCTCGTTTATTAATTTCAAAAGAGTAAATCAGCATCTACGAGCTACCCTAATACAAGAAGAAAATTGTATAGGTACTTACAGGTTTTACGTCCAGTAAAACCTCATTAAGCTTATTTATTATCACGTTTCGTTTACAATAGGTACTTAGTAATTGTTTAGTGCTCTACTAAATGTACTGGAAGGACTGTGATAACGTGGAATAAATTCTGGCTCGATAGATTCAACGGAGCAACTTTGTTGTTTAATGTTAAAGGAACTTTGCCTCAGTGCGGTTTAATAGTTATTTTGATGTAGACTCGAGTTCAATTCTGAGGAGAGTCACCAAAAATAAACTTTTTTTTTTACATTATTTGTATACGAATTGTGAGAGCTTGTTTACACGCCTAGTTAAACAATTAAAACATCAAGTTGTGTCTGTCTTTAAAATTAACTATCTAGTAATAAAGCAATATTTATTTACTTAGCTAAATATATTTGATTCCTAAAATGTACTTGCTTCAGAATTATATTGATTCACCATAAAACATCGCATTTTTCTAATCATTTTTCAATCCATTACAGTTTCAAAATACAATACAATAAAATCAACAACATTAGCTTTGACTTATTATCGAAGTCTTTTATGTCACGAAGTAATAAATAAAAGCTATTATGGCCACACAATATTGACTGAACCTATTATTATAAATTACTTAGTGACGAAAACTCACAAGACGACTTTCTTTACCTAACAAATATTAGAAAGAACTTGAGATTCTCAAAGTATATTATCGTATGCTAATACAATACGTTCTCTATTTGGCCCTTATCCCTTCATCGGCCCGCCTTTTACTAGTAAAGCCATTTTATTTTAGTCTGCTGAATTTGGGAAAATACGCAGAAAACAAACATGGCGCCGTATTTATCCTCCGAGCATCGGATCCACTAATCTTCTTTTTCTTTTGCAGATGACGCTCTTCAACCAAATGCTCCCGAACGAAAAGTAATACCAAGAACATGTATCACCAATTGAATTTATGAAAGCTAACATGGACAAAAACAAGAAAAAAATCCATGTCAACGGCAAGTACAAGAAAAATGGGAAGAGCGACTACAAATTGGATGACGAAGTCATAACCACTTGCTGCTTGTGCGTCAAAACTAAAAAGAGCAAAAAGAAAACTATCATAGCGGGATGTGTCACCAATCTGGGCATATTCGTTCTTCTCCTTGCGTATACTTTACTGGGTGCTTTCGTATTTCTCGCTATCGAAGGTAGCGCAGCTAAAATGCATCAGAAGACACTGGCGACGACGTCATACCAAGCCAATGACAATCCGAAGATTCCGATCTCAAAACTCAATGGCAGTTTGACTCAAGCCAGCGCTGAACTGAGGTCGCAAACTGTGGAAAGCATTTGGGAAATAACTGTGTCATTGAATATTTTGTATAAGGAGAATTGGACGAGACTCGCTGCTCAAGAAATAGCGAGGTTTCAAGAAAAGCTGGTGGCCAGGGTCGCTGCTGATGTGTCGGCGCAGTACGGAGGCGCCAGAGCTTTGGAGGTAGCTCCGGCTCTGGTGGTAGACGACTACGAATGGAACTTTGCTAAAGCATTCCTCTACTCACTTACTGTGTTAACTACAATAGGTAACTATCAATCTAGATAAACAATAGTTTATTCGTTCCTTCAGCTAAATGATGTCCACTGCTGGTCTGATGTCAATGGTCTACCACAAGAATTTCCACAACACCGGTCCTGCTCTACCCGCATTCAAATACTTCACAGAACCTTCACCAGATCGTCGGTCTACTTAGTTTTTATTCAATGCTGTATGATAATTTGATATCACAATATTTTAACAAATTTTTTTCACAGGTTACGGGAGCGTAGCTCCGAAAACCGCTTTGGGGAAAGCAGTCACAATCGGCTACGCAGTCATAGGTATACCTCTCACTCTTCTATATCTATCTGTCGTCGGAGCATTACTATCACGTCTAGCAAGAAGCGTGTTCAGCAGAGCATTATGCTGCTGTCTCTGCACCAAGTGCGGGTACTGCTGTCTCGATGAGCGAACTATGGCGAGCAAAGAAAGAAAAGAGAAAGTAAGAAGACAAGACGACTACAGAACTCAGACATTGCAACTTCAAGAACCTTACTACGTTCGGTCCCCATCAGGGACAATTATATCCGCATCACAAGCGCACAGCGTCAGCACAAATTCAATAAAAGACAAAACTCAAGGTCTAAGTTTTCTACGAGACTGTGACTCTTTGAGCTGCACCGACACGGATTCAAAGGTGTCTCTTCGTGGGTTCTCGATCCTAGCACCTGTATCCCTTTGCCTTGCAGCAATATTCACGTACATTTTCTTTGGTGCTCTGGTTCTGTACCAGTTGGAAGGGTGGAGTCCTATTGATGGGGTGTACTTCTGCTTCATGAGCCTGAGTACCATTGGCTTTGGGCATCTGGCGCCAGGAGCTACCCAGAAGAACGGCGCGTCGACTGGCACGGTTTGGTTTTGCTCAATTTACATCATGACCGGTCTGGCTTTGACTGCCATGTGCTTCAACGTGCTGCACGATGAGATAGTCCACCGCTTGAGGCATCATGAGAAGGTGTTGAAGTCGAATACTCAGAAGGTGTTGACGTCGGAATTCCTGCATCGGTCTTGACGGGACGATAGTGGGAACTTGACTGACGATACCATGATGAATTCTGAAGGAGAGTCATTGCCGGAAGTACTCCATCATGTATCTGTAACCAGGTGTGATGGAGGTGCAATCAGGCGGTCAGTTTACACACTCAGAGAAGAAAAGGAACCAGAGCGATTGACTCCGATGTAATTAAAATAGGACTAGCCAAAGACTCCACACGTTTCCTAACTTTACCTATACATTCCATAAGTCTCACACTATTATCTGTAGAAAAAGACTTCGTTCATAGTTTATTTGGCGCTGAAAAATCATTTTCAGGGTAGGGTCAAGATAAGTACAAGTTGGTTTGAGTGTTTATTGTTCAGTACGAGTATAATCGGATAATTATATTTGTTATTATCTTTTATATATTTTGGTAATTCATATATTTTAGTAACGATAAGTAAAATGCTCAAAGTTAATTAATTTAAACAATCAGTACTTAGACGAATTATTTTTCAGAGTTATCAAATAGCAAAGGAAATACAGTGCGACATTACTTATTCGCCAACTTAATTGACTAATTTTGTTCATTTCAAGAAAGAGAAATCAAATACTATTGCTAATTAAAAATTAATTGGGTTTCCAGTGTTAAAATGAAGTTGGTATTCTTAATTAATTGTTAATAATGTACTTAAAAATTATTTGGTTAGTAGACAATATGATTTTGGTAACTTTTACGATATTTATTTACTATATTATTATGTATGCATTTGATGAAGTTTGTAGAAAATAGGATAGACAGAGTGTTACATAACATCACATATGAAACAAAATGAACTAATAAGTAATGAAATGACTGACCATATTTGTTAATTATTTTAATTAGGTAATTAACGTAAGGAACCCTTAGGAAGATATACTTAATCGGTTTTTGAACCTTAGATTAACGACATTAATGTAGAATAATGTAATTATTGTAAATGTAATTATTAATTTGAATACATTTTGTACTATTTTTTTTTCAAATTAATGATTTTTTGTCGGATTGAGATTGGAATAAAAAAGGCATAAAGGTAGCAGGAAGGCGCTGGATGCAGGCCGCTACCAACCGGGCGATATGGTAATCGTTGGGGGAGACCAATGTTCAGCAGTGGACGTCCTGTGACTGAAATGATGATGATGATGATTTTTTAGGTACTGATTATGCTGTGTTTGAAACATAGTAAATTCAGCCATAGATATGAATACTATAAGTATTTTTTTTATGATTTCGTGTTAAGTGCCAAAGTTTAACTAATGCATTTTGAAAGTTATGTAAAACAAGCTGAAAACAAAGACGTGAAATGAAATTTAGATGAAAACATATGGCAGAATGGTCACTCGTTTTTCTTTAGTTTATGATCTTATATTAATGTGTATTTCAATGGTTTCAAGTTATCTTCAAAAGTGTAGAAAAAAGAAATTACATATACATATGGAGGATATTTCACTGATTTTATTACTTACCTTCTCTTGAAATTAAAATATCATTAACGAGTCTTTTGGTTGACCAAATAAAACGAGTCTACTTTCTTTCGAAAAGTGGCCAACTGCAATTTAATTACCGATAAGTAATTAATTATAACTAACCTTTTTGTATAAGTAATGAGATTAGGACGTTCGGCAAGCCAAATTTAAATTATATACAAAATTGTATGACCTATGTACGTATATGTATATCAAGTTGGAAGGTTGTTCAACAACCGCGTAGTTCTTTGTTTTTACATTTATTATAGGTATGTGTGAACACCATTTTTTTTGTAAAATTGTATGGAATGTAAAAACTAATTATAATGATAGATGAATAAAGGATTTTAAGGAAATAATGTGATCACTTTAATTTACCCCTTTAAATTCGTTCTCAAAATTATTCTACAAGTATCTATGTTAGTCTCATAATAAAGTAAATAATTTTCAATGAAATTTCAGTTAAATATGAATGAAATTTTTCATTTTCAGTACATTTTTTTTACTTTTTTTACAAAGCAGATTTAGATAGTGACACTGCGTTACGAGGTATAAAAAAGTCTGGCAAACTCATCCCTTATGATGTTTTTAAAAAAATTTAACACTTTATTAAAGTGATCTATACAAGCAAGCAAAGGGCAGCAAGGCCGCGTACCGAAAAACGCAGCGTGGGACGTCCACCCACAAGGTGGACCGACGACATCATAAAGGAAGGCGCTGGACGCAGGCCGCTACCAACGGGGCAACATGGAAAGCATTGGGGAGGCCTATGTTCAGCAGTGGACGTCCTATGGCTGAGATGTTGATGATGATGATAGATCACCTGAAGTATTTTTAATTCAAAGGATATTTTATTGCCCAAACCATAGAAAAAAGATTATTTATAGTAGTTAATTTGTTCTTTTTTGCGCAAATTATTAGCCTCTCGTACTCAGCTAAAATGCTTGTGTCACGAGTGAGCTCACCACAATAGTCAAGCGTCAGCGGGGTTCGAACCCGCGTTCCTCGCATGACGAGTTGGCCAGTCCGACCCCTTCACGAACGGTGAAGCTATCGTAGCTACAATACACTGTTACAAATAAGTTACAATAACACTGTGGTATCTTATAGAGTTGTAATAGACACAATTTTGCAACGAAATGTAAAGTCTATGACTGTATATCCTCGAACAAAGCGACTTTAAACCGGGCAGAGGATTCAATAACTCCCAACGCCGTGCAGCTCCAGAATCAAACACAACACGTGATGTGAATCCGCTGGTAATCCGTTCTGGTGTGGCTGGTTTTGGAGATCCTTTGGGGGAATTAAAAAACTTCCGATATTACGAGTAGAACACTTTGGAGTTGCCTGTTTATTGCATTTACCGCGTAAATTATTATTAAGAATTGGAATAGGATTTGAACAGTTTGAAATTGGGTTAAGATTTGAACTTATCAATTAAACTGCAATTTGCCACAAAAACTATTGTGACAATAGAACTTAAACATAATTTTTTTAATGAAATAATAATATCGTTTACTTGTGTGATGTTTCATACAATTTTTTGCAGTTGGGTCAAGATACTAAAATCACGACCGGTAGTGAACAACGGGTACCTAAAAAGTTGGTAAGTAATTAAAAGTAAATGTTTGATGGAGGTCATGATTTAGTAAAACTAGTTGTTGTATTACATAAATTCGACAACTAATGTCCACAGTCAATATTAATTAGGTATACATAAAAAAATCTTGCAATCATTTTGAATTTTATATTTCAACAATTTCAACAAACCACAAAAATTCTACGGAACTCTACATTTAAAATCGGCTAAAATTTACCGGGTTTTTTACCAAGCAATTGGATCCGGTTCATTCCAACGTTGGATAATCCGGTACAATCAGAGTTCGCCACCGAAATTAGGATGGTGCGGAATTACATACATTCCGGAAGACCGGATTCCCGGGATAGTGGCGCTCCGCAAACTTTTCCCGTAGTCCGGGACCTTTGCTCTGTTTTGATTTATTGTTGAGCACGGAGTTAGTGTGGTGAATTGTAATGAATCAATTGAGTTTAGGTATTGTCTGTATTCGATGGTGACTTTTCATGTCACACAAATAAAACACACACAAAATCGGCTCTATGTGGTCTTATTTATTAAACATAACAAATATTTAACCTTATTACAAATAGTTAAACGCGTGTTAGACACTGGTTTAAAAAGATTTCCATAAATCTTCAATTTAAAAAAGTGTTCAGCGCGCGGTTAAATTTTTGTAATAAGGCCAAAAATCGACTGATTCAGACGGGAATTGAATCCACAGCTTTGCTATCCTAACATTTAACTAATGTCACTAACTTTAATTTTAAATATGTAACAAAACACTCACATTCCTTGGAAAGTTTGGTGGACAGCCAGTTTCTCGGTAAAATCAATAAAACTACGATATGCCATGGGAATAGTACAACTTTTGTTATTTCTATAAGACACTCGATTTCAGTTTCTTCCAAATATAGGTTTTAAAAGTAGTACGAAGACATCATTATTAAAAAAAAATAGCAAATTCATATTGTTATTTTATGAATAAGCTATTTTAAATACGAATGGCGTTCATAACCGACAGCTTTTACAGCAAACACGCTAAACAATAGGAGCCTAATAAAGCGATATTCCCATGACAATGATAGCATAATTTCACTGCAATTCCAAGTCCAAACGCAACAGAGCTCCAGACAACAGGCGCCCTTAATTACATTTCCCGCGAAATCGCAAAACAACGCTGACCGAAACCAGATGGCGTGCGAAGTTTGGTCACACGACACTGGCCAGACAACAAATTGCCTTATGACATTGTGTACTTAAGGTTTTTTATATTGATCGTAAGTGACTGTTCCATTCTGTAATTTGAACTATTGTTATGGCCGCTACTATAATAGTAGGTAGGTATAATATTATGTAGGTAGGTAGGTATTCTTTTTTCCCATTTTCTCTGGTACTATACATAGTATAGAACTAAGTTGGCCTGAGATGCACCATCTTACTTTACGAACGTCTAAAATTGGTCAAACTGCATGCAAAAAGTACCAGTTATCATTGTTACGGTTATATAGGACGGCGCAACTCAGCCTTAATGTCAGTGAACAAAGGGACCTATCTATTGCGTACGAGAGAGCTACGAATATGTTCTCTTCCACTTAACCTGCCAGTGTTTTGTGACAATGAATGATTTGATTTCGCTGCAATTCTAGCAAACGTCGAAACAGACAACGTGCAGCGTGTTTAATTGCAGTTCCAGCGAAATTGCTCGGTAAACAAAGCTAAAGCAGATGGCGTGTGAAGTTGGGGACAGGACACTGGACAGACGGGATTACGTCACAGGATAGTTGAGCATCAGAGGAATTTGCCGAAACAATCCAGGTAAAAGGTACCTACTTGCTACTAAATCTGGTCAACATGGGGACCAAGCTTTGGTAAATTAGAGAGAGTCGCTTTCGTGTCGTCGAGACTAAATGACCTGTGTGCCTACCATGAGTTTACGTTAGGTGTGCTCGCTAGCGACTGCGTAAAAAAATGACATTTATATGTATGACATATTGTACAGCGCCCCTAGCGGCTACTTTCAAGAAATAAAATCTTCATAGAATTTTTTGACGTATTCGCTAGCGAGCTCACCTAACGTAAACTCATGGTAGGCACACTGATGATAATTCACGTAAAACAATAGTTATAACACTGGCTCATATTAAGAGTGCTCTTTGGGATCCTTCTTGCATAAATAAATGATCTAATTAGATTTGATATGTCAGGTTCTGCAATTTTGTGACCACAAACAGATTTCTTAGTTTTACCACTGGATATCAAACTGGGAAAAGACCTTTGAAAAGTTTGTCTCACCACTAGACCACAGAGGCTGTAAAATTAAAGCAAAAATGGCTGCCCAATATCTCCCCATTACTATTGCTACAATACTCGCCAAAATATCAAGCGAAAACATTGCTTTACAAATTGAAAACACAATGTCAGTTATTGTCGGCGTCACGGTGCAATTTCGAAAATCAGCAATCGCCGGAACTAGGTGCTGTAGATGCTAACAGTCACTAGATACTACTAAGGTTTCTGGATAATGAAACAAAAGATCTTAACTTTACTCGCAAGAAGTCAACATTAAGTCAAAGCGTCGGTCTACTTTATTGCAATTACAAAATCATCATCATCACCAGGTATTTTTTCTTTATTGGAGGAACACGACCTTCTCAAATTTTTCAGAGGCAAGGGGAGGAGAGCTTTTGCTTTTATAAATATCAATATACTAGTAATATGAAGGAATAAACTTGACCTTGACTTTTATTGTCGGTCAAGCTGTAATTGTAGATCCTGGTGTGCCACAGAAAGTTAAAGTTCCAGGTCTTGGACATTTTTTAACCAAAACGAGGAAGATCTAGGCCTGCATCTAACCTGATGGGAAGTAATGATCAGGCCCAATAAGTAGAAGTGAGATGCTGTTAACCTTGTTGTTATGGCGACAGACTAAGGTAAGATGCTTTAGTCTAATAGCACGTTAGAATTTTGTCCAATGACCCCAAGCTACCCATCCTTATCGCTCGCGCGTAATTATATAAGGCCGGGCTTTAGTAGTGGAAGATTGGCAGGCGGACTTAAATCTATTTAAAAAAAAGTCACTTGGATCCATCTTCGAGTTACAGTAGTACTGTTCTGTGGATTTATTGTAAACTGGCTGGCGATTTTCACAGCAGAATGGCCGCGAATTGCAGCGCCGACGTCCAAGTAATAGCTTTTTGAGAGGTGCTATTGCTATTTTTGGTTATCGCTTTCGCTATTATAGCCTTCGCTATTATAGTTGTCGCTATTATAGCGGACCAATTGGGTGTTCCGCAACACCTTTTAAACTTTCTTTTGAACTTTTATAATGCGAACAACTAAGGACTGGAATTCGCTGCCTGTAGCTGTCTTTCCAGAACACTATAATCCGGACCTTTTCAAGGCGAGAGTGAATAGGGCAGATCCTAAACTGCATCTTGCGATTGCGGTCAAATGCCTGCCTTGTTCTGCATAAAAATATCTGTATAGTTACCTATATTTTTATGTAACTTTTGTAGTCTGCGCTATTAAAGTTGTTGCTATTATAGCAGACCAATTGGGTGTTCCGCAACACCATTTAAACTTTCTTTCGAACTCTGGTGTACCTAAATTTTACGTAGGTACATTTTTATGTAAAAACTCGGCTGAAGGTCCTCCTAAAAGATTTTAGGTTAGAACGCGGTCTGAATATTAACTTTTGGCTCATATTAATTGTTATGCAAAACTTGTGTGAGCCTAAAGCTATCATTTGCTTATTACTGAATATCACGTTA